TATTACCAACTCCCACGGTAAATGAAAACGAACATCGATATGCTTTCTTCTCACATGCATCACTCGATTCTTCGCTAGCTTGATGGTAGAGCTGTTGTCACACAATATTTTTGTTTCATTTGCTACACTGTTACTCCAGCACATCTCTTTAAGAACCTTTTAAGGCCATATACATTGTGCAGCCTAATATTAGGTTGCAACAAATTTTGTCTCAGTTGTGGAGAGAGTGACCAATGGCTACTTTTTGGAGGCCCATGAAACTGTTTTTATGTATAAATGAAATGACGTGTACAAGCTTAAGTGTAAAAGAGTAAGTTTCATGAATAATTGAAATCATCATAAATATTACTAATGGAACCTATATTTTGTTATACATGAACACCACTTACAAAAAATTAAATGACTATGAAATTTTAGGCTTCGTAAAAATAACCAAATTGGAAAACCTCTTGAACTAGAGTAAAGCCTAACTCAGAACAAGAAGTTCACAAACATAGAAAATGAGTTGAATTATACACTAGCATGAGCCATAATTCATAATTAACCTGAAATATCCAAATTCTTGACATCATAGTGCCCGGAACTTTTTTTTTTGTGCCCAGAACTTCTTGATCGTGAATTTGAGACTACATTTGGGCAACAACATCAAACCTTGCATCCAAGTCTCATCATGTCCATGGCACCACACCATCATTATAGCTATCACCATCACCAACATCATGCTCATTTAAACTACCTCCATCATCATTCATGGAAAATGAATAATATCAACTCCCATCGCATGATTACTTTTAGTTTTTTACCATAAAGAACCACTTTACCAGCCCACTAACTACCCTACCCGCTTCACAAACCCGATCATTAAAAGCCCATAAAAGCGTACTAAAAGCTAGCTTCTAAGATTTTTAAAAGTTCATAAAAGCTTACTAAAGAGCTTATATTAAACTTATGATGTCAAAAGATTTTTCAAAGAAAGTACTATATTTGTGGAGATAGGAAGTAACAGTGTAAACTTTTAAGGTACTATAGCTTTTAACTACATTGTCCACGTGTACTTTTTATGTCATCGGTACCACCAACATAATCACTATATCTGTAGCCAAATAGATGATTCTTCTCATCATGAATCCTCTTGTATCAAATTCCATGATTTACCATTCCTTATAGATACTTAAGTACCCTCTTTGTTGTAGTAAGTGTTGCCATGTGGGAGAATCCATGTATCTGTTGATTATACATCCTAGGAGAATGATGTCGGATTTTGTTGCTATAACATGCAGCAAGCTTCCAGTCAGTCTTTTGTATTAGGTGGGATTGATAGGAACTCCATCTCCAACCTTTGTAATCTTTGCTCCATGTATTAAAGGGTTGTGGACAAAGTTATAGTGCATCATATTGAACTTCTACAAAGTTGTAGTGCATCATATTTGGGTTGACATATGAATATTCCATCCTCACTTTGAATTACTACATCATTATAACTGGCATACATCAACTTTTGTTAGCATAAAAGTTATATTCCATCCTAGGAAATTCCTCATCTTTCCCATATTAGTCATCTCAAATTCTGTTAGCATAAAAGCTTTGAAATCTTCAATCAACACATCATTGTAACTGGCATACATAAACTTATCTAGATAGACACTGACAAAGTAGGATTCAATTCCGGTGTACTGAGTCCTACGTGCTTGCTTGAGTCAATAGAGAGCTTTGTGAAACCTGAAGACCTTATTTTTCTCCCCAGCAACCACAAATATTTGAGGTTTCGCAACAAATATCTCTTCAGAATGCTCTCCATGAAGAAAATCACTTTTCACATCTAACTATATACTGTCAAACTATGATATGCAACTAAAGCTAGAAGAGTTCTGATGGTGTTCCATCTAGTAACATAGCGAAACACTTTAAAGTGAGATACATATGGAGGCTACCACTTAATTCTTAGGTGTTTTACCATGATTTGTTGTTGTTGGACGTTTGTTAAGTACATGTGAAACCCAAGCAACAGCTTCAGGCAAACACAGAAAGGAACCTTCATGTTAGGGGTGGGAAATGGTGTTGTTGCGGTTAACTCCATCGTAATTTGCAGTTAACTGCAAAGTGCCCATATTAGCTAACCGCGACCGCACCTACTATGATTAGCAGTTAACCGCTAACCGCAAAATGCACTTAACGATGCACCGCGGTTACTGGCATCACCAACCGAGTTAACCTCGCAGGTTTGGACTTTTGATTTCGACGAGTAGAGCAGATGTGGAGAGGACGGCGGCGTGCGCTGCACCTCTGAGCGTTATCCGCCGAACTCTAATAAACCAGGGACGATGGCAGAGGCGTGTTTTGGACGAGAAGGGACGATGGCAGAGGGATTTTCTGGTATCTGGGATTTGCTGGATGAGAAGGGATGGTGGCGTAGGGATTTTCGGACGACAAGTCTGGGTTCTGGAATGGTCGCGCCGTCGCACGGGTTGGGAAACAAGAACAGGCCGGAAGTGGCCGGGTCGACATCAGCTACTGAGCTTGGGGTGGAGTTTATTTGTTGGGATAGTCTGAAAAATGAAGTGGTGGGTTGGGTTGCGGTTAGCAGTGCGGTTAGGTGTATCTGTGATTTCGGTTGCGGTTAAACCGCAAAAGACTCATTATCTCCAACCGCGACTGCAAAGAGTCTGTTTTTGTAGTTTGTCGTTAACTGCTAATTGCAAAACCACACATGAATTCCCAGCCCTATTTCATGTCCTGAAGCATGCATCTGACTATATTGATTAAGTTCATGTTTCTTCTTTAGCACACCATTTTGTTGAGGAGTGAAGGCAAAAATAAGATCTCTCCTTGTTCCAGCTTCATCACACAGTTCTTTGAGTTGATTTAGCATGAACTCGCCTTCTCTATCCGTTCTAACACATTCAATCTTTGCCAATTTCCTTTTCAATTGTGCTTTGTGCTTCTTAAACCAATCCAAAGAATTTAATTTAGCTACCAGGAATACACTCACATTTTACTGCTAAAGTCATCTATGATAGTGAAAATGTACCTCTTTTCTCCATTTGACACTGGAGTGAATGGACTACACATGTCTGCATGCACCAACTGTAGTTTGTGAGTTGTTCTTGATTGATTTTTATTTGGAAATTGTTTATTGTGTTGTTTGCCAACCAGAAAGGCACCATAGACTCCAATTGTCCCTCCAACTTTGACAACTCTTGCACGAGTCCTTTCTTCTGAAATAGCTTCAAATTCCTTATATTATGTGTCCAAATCAACAATGTCATAAATAGTGATGGCAATGAGGCGGGGCGGGGCGGGTACCTCAATTCCCATGCCCCGCCCCACGCTACTATAGGTTGGGACGGGTAAACCCCGTGCGGGTACGGGTCGGGGCATGTGTTCCCGCTCTTACATGCTATTTGGAAAAGATATACGCAAATTTAACTTTTTACGATAAAACAAAGGGAAAACACTTTATTAAAGAGTGACTAACGGGAGAGTGACTCAATGTGACATGTTTCAGTAATTCGAGTGACCAAAATTGATATTAATTTTTTCTAGTGACTAAACATGACATGATTTAGTAATCTCAGTGACCAAATGTGGCATTTACCCAAGAAAAATGTTGATAATAAAATGGGCAATTGAGTCTAAAAAGTTGAAATATTGACTCTAACTAGTTGAATAAAAGTCAAAATAGGAGAAATATGTATAGATACTGTAAAAAATTGAGATAAAATGTGTCTAGAACGGTGCAGGGCGGGTCGAAAGTAGATACCCATGCCTTGCCGAACGCTGCTACAAGTCGGGTAATACCCGTGGGACGGGTTCGAATTGCCATCACTAGTCATAGCTTTAGAGTGCTTTCTATGGCATCGATTTGAAGACACTGAGTGTGTTGACTTCCAGCATGAAGTACGAACATACGATTTTCTACCAATAAAAAGTAGGCAAAATACACTTGTAGAACCAAAACTTTTGCGTTTGTGCCAATAATAGCCAAATTTGGAGAAATACCACTTACGTCCAATTCTTTAACGATGTTAGCGTTAAGTGTGGCTGGACAAACGGAGATGCTTACATGGCAAGCTTTTCCCCTTTTACTCTGTAATTATCCACGTGGATAAGGATTAATTCAAAAATTTCACTGACCAGAAAAAGAACCCCCTCAAATTGGAAATGAACACGTCAGCTAGAGATGGCTATTACCCACCCATGGGTAATTTTACCCAAATCCAAATAAATCCATTTAGTATGGGTAGGGTTTGGATGAAGTGTATATGGGTTTGGGGGTTTGTAGATGGGTTTGGGTTGGGTATGGATATTGCTTTCATAATGCAAATGGGTATGGGTTGGATATGGATATCCATTTACTTGAGGGTGTTTTAACTACACACAAAAATTGGACCTATTTGTAAAACTTGAAAAGTTTAGGTACCAAAATGTAAGACCAAAAAAATTAGGTACCAAAACGTAATTTTCCATCGATATTTTGAGGACTTATATGCAAAAAAATTAAATTTAGGTACTAAATCTGCATATCTATTAAGTTTAGGTACCAAACTGTAATTTGCCTTTGGGCATGGGTACAAACCCAAATCCATGTGTTAAAAACCCAACCCAAGTAAATGGGTATGGGTACAAATCCATCAAACTCTACCCATCTACTATTTATTTGGAATCCATACCCAACCCAATTGGGTTGGATAGTAAAATACCCATGGGTATGGGCAAAATTGCCATCCCTAACGTCAGCCACATAAAATCTAAACAAAACAAAAAAACAAAAACCCTAAAAAGTTAACACGTTGTCTTTTGATTTGTGAAGTAATCAAGGTTGTCAAACCTCAATCCGGTCAGCCGGTCGAACTGAGTCAGACCGGAACCGGGCATACAAACGGCTCCACCAAGCCATATTTTGTATCTAGCCGCTGGCCGGTCAAAACCGGTAAAAGTCGTTCAAAACCGTGAAAAGCCGGGGTCTGGCCAGTTAAAACGGCTTCCGGCTATTTACTGAAATGACGTTGTTTGGGCCAGAAGCCCTAGCAAGTCTGAGTTGGAGATTGGAGAAGCAGCCGCACAACGTCACCTCTTCGTCTCTCCACTGTATTTCTTCCCCTGATCGCTGGCACCACAGCTCCCCGGCTCCCTCATCTTCCCGCCACTGCCGCCGCACCTCGTTCGATATCATCATCCACCATCTCCCGTTGCTCACCCTCTTCATCTGCTCTCACTCGGCCCCCTCATCTTTTCGCTACAACCGCTGCGTAATTTCCCGTCGCATCTCCCGCTGCCAAGATCTGCTTTACCAAGTCGGCAATAAAAGGAGGAAGGAGATGGAGAAATAGAAAACATAAAGAAAAGGAAGGATGAAATTCAGATTAATCAAGTGAATAATTTGAATTGACTTGGCCAAGATCTACTTTACCAATGCGGCAATAGGAGGAAGTAGAAGGTGGGGTCGTTTGGAAGTTGTGATTGTTAGAGTTGTGTTAGTTGAATACATGTATTGTGTACAATACAATGTTTGGAAGTGTCAAAGTGTTAAACAATGCATGCATTATTTTAGGTAGGTCCCACCAACAATCCCAAAAAATGATGCATTATACAATCTCAACTAAAAGTTGAGATTGTTGGTTTTAGATTTGTGTCAACTTTTTCTTTCCATTTATATCCCCAATAGTTCTTGTCTTATTCTAAAAGTTGAGGCTAAATATGGCATTTCCCCATAAATGTAACTTTATGTAAATCAATGCATACATTAGAATCTCAACAACCAAACAATGTATTGTTAAAATGCATCAATTGTATCAATACATGCATTTATATTATGGTGATTCATTACAATGCAACGATTTAACATTCGCAACTTCCAAACGACCCCTAAATGTAAAACGGAAAGAACTGGAAAGGAAAACATGGAGGGCTTGATTGATGGAGATATTGTGGGGAAACGGAACATGGTTTACAGGAGGAATGCCCCCAATCTAGCTAAACAACTAATAAAATTAGTAATTACTTCAAAACTGGCTTAAACCAGTTGAACCCCGATCCGACCATTAATCTCACTCCCCTTTCTAAACCGGCTTGATGACTTAATCCGGGTTGACAACCTTGTGAATAATAAAAATAAACTGAATAATAAATAAAACAAAATAAACAAGCATATCTTGACCAACAAATATTGCCCCCGTTTCTGCTTCTCTTTGCTACACTCGCAGTTGCTTCGCAGAGAAACCGCCGCCGCCCCTCTTTCTCGTCTTCCTCGTTTGAAGATCCATCGCCGGAGACAGAGGCCGAGAGAAGGATGAGGAAGGGAGCGAGGTAGTCAGGCGAGCGTCGTAACCACCGCAAAGATCGATTCGACTAGATTGTCTTCCACTTCCTCTCGTCCATCACCAGTTGCTGAAGATCCTCATTGGAGCCGGAGTTCTGAAGCAGGGACGATGAGCCGCCAGCGAAAAGTCCATCTGCCAAAAAATCAATTCCTACCTTGCCTTCAATCGCTGCCCCCAATCCCTACCTGTTCATCTCCGCTCTCGTCCGCTGCTGGGAGATTTGAGAGTAGAGCCCCAATCCCTGGCTCAAAATCTATTCATGCTTGAACGTCGATCCGGAGAATTTGGGTATTAAGTAAATATTAAATAATTGAAATATGTGACGTGTCACTATTTGTTTATGTGTGCATTCGTGTTCGTTGAGTTGGAGCTTAGTCAGCGAATCGTCAAATAAATTGATGGTGTTAATAACACTGTTATAGTATCTAACGGAAATGACTATATATGTCATATAACAACTTCAAAAGCTGGCTCTAAGTGGTATTTCTCCAAATCTGGCTATTATTAGCACAAACGTGAAAGTTTTGGCTATACAAGTGTATTTTGCCTAAAAAGTAAGAATTTTTTTTTTCACATATGTAAAGCTTTGTCTCATGCAGTATCCTTCGTTCACAAAAGTAAAGATAGCATCTCCATTTTCTTCTTCAAAATGTTGTTTCAGAGAAACTTTTCCCCTTACAAATGAAAATTAGGGTAGAAACAAGCAAAGTGCAGCCCGTTATTAGATTTATCATCTCACAAGTGCTGCTAGATTACAACTTGTGACATAAAGCTAACACAGAGAGCAAATGACGGATGTCACTCTACATTTTTTGTCAACCCTTTCTCTGAAACTACACCGACAATTTATGAACACTAGCTTTGCCAAAACTATGATAGGCAAGCACTACATTACAACCGAACAAGCATTTTCCTAAACCAAACTTCCATACATGAATTTCTTTTAAGCAGTACAAACAAAGATCCATGTTGGTCTATGGAACTCTCTAATCTATTTCTGTTGGGGGGAGATGGATGCTGAGATGGTCTAAGGAGGTGGTGCCGTGGATTTTCAACCCATGCTCGTTGGCCAAGTGCAATAAGCATATAAAACATAGATGAGGAGATATATCGTTGATTGTTGCAGCAGCATTGCAGTCATTTGGAAAGCTTGCCAATATAATACGAGCACGGTTGTGCTTGTAGGGGATCAAAGTGCACACCTCAACTCTCTTCCAACGAGACTTGAGTGTAAGCAATTTAAAACGCAAATAAAACGGACCAAAGGTGCAATCTTTCACGCGGAAGAAGGCTCGATTGGTTTGAAGTGAAGCTCGGCCACGATTGATGCGTTTTCAATCGATACGAAGCAACTCGTAGCTGGAACTCAACCAACTCACAAGCTTTGGAAGACAAGTCTCAACTTTTATTCATCAACTCATGCCCTTGTACACGAGGCATTCAAGCCTTTAAATAGACAACAAACAACCTAATTCTAACTCTAAACTAACAAGGAAATAAATATCTAACTCTAGTTTGACAAGGAAACAGAATCCTAATTCTAAAAGGTAACAAAACCCAGTTGCTTCTCGTCCAAGCTGCTGCCTTCCTGCGCAAGCAATGATACCAGTCTCCATAGCATCTTTGAAGCCCTCGAATGTAGCCTTCCAAGGATCAACGTTCCAATCAGCCTTCAGTCGTTTGTACTCCTGTTTTTGTAGTTTAATTTCCAGCTCTTCTTGCCCGTCGACAATACTCCATTCGCATTTCATAAGCCTCCAAAGTTGGTGTCGGAAACTGTTTCCAGACTTAGTCAAAAACAGGCATTCTTCCAGTTTTACCATAGCAACTTGACACTCTTTTTGTTCAGGGTCTTGAAGGCTCGAGCTGGTGCAAACGACCCTTCAAATTGATAAACAAACACGAGCTCTTCACTTTCCACCCTTCCTCTCGTATTTCCATCAACCAGAATGTACGATATGAACCTGTAAAGTAGGCACCACGAAACAATACGAACACTTAGCCAGATTCTTCCGTTTTTCTTTCCAACATTGATAGATCTTTTGGAGCTCAATTGGAGCTTCATCAAGAGGCTAAATGAGATCATATCAAGCCCCCCTTCTTTAAAAAGCTTTGCCCTCAAAGCTGGCTCACTTTTGCGATGGAAATCATCAATGACTGATGCCCAGAAAGGCTCGAAAAAGTCAGTCTTGGCTGCCGGAAAACAGATCGTCGGCGAGTGTTCAAAACCGCCGGGTTGGTGAGTCTGGCCCTCCCATAGTGCTGAATCCTGCTTGCCTCGCGTCCCAGACCCTCTTCCATCCATCCCCATGTCCGTATCACACTTATTCATGATGGAGGCGCCATTTGTGCCTTTCCCGCCGTCGGAAAATTTGAATTTTCCGGAATCCGGCGAGGGGAACCCAGAATCCGGCGATGGAAACTTGAAATTGGGGAAATTCAATCCAGGCGTCCCCGAGCCGCTTTCGTCGCTTCTACACCATCCCCAAGACTCCAGGAATCGAATCCAACTGTCCAATTGCGTCGAATCGACTCGGATATTATGAATCGACTTGGGTCTCTGCTTATCGAAGTTCTGCTCCTTTTGACCCCAAATCGCCAAATTGGGCGTTTCCTCCTCGAGGCTGCTCGGCCTGTTCTGATCAGTTCTACACATTCCTGGGGTGGAAACAAACATGGTGGCATGGGCGGATTGATTCGAATCGCTCTCCAATGCTCCACCCAATTCACCCTCTCTCTTCCCCTGCCGCGTCGGAGAAGAAAAACAGGGCACGCTGGCCGCGATCAGTGGAGGGTGTGTAGGCCTACTCAAAGCAGTCAGCATGAACCCCACACGCAACAGACCTATTCTTTTTCGTGTCTTCCCCGTTTCTCCTCCTTCTCGAGCTCGCATCAACGCCATTTGTTGCTGGTCGGAGCGAACTTCCGACGGAGTCAATGGTTTGAGGACTACCCGCCTACCATTGTACTCGAATCGGTAACAATTGGACCCGCCATCGTGCGTAACGGCTCGTTCATACTGCCAGGGCCTGCCGAGCAACAGATGTGCTGCTTGCATCGGCGCAACGTCGCACAAGACCTCGTCCTTATAGCCACCAATCTCAAATGCCACACGTGCTCGTCGAGTCACCTTGATTGCACCGTAGTCGTTCAACCAGTGTAAGCTGTACGGCTCTGGGTGCTTGTTCGTTTCGAGTCCCAATTTCTGGACGGCCTCGAGACTGATGACGTTTGTGCAGCTCCCACCGTCGACAACCACCGACAAACATTTGCCATTAACGAGACACCTGGTGTGGAACAAATTGGTGCGTTGATCATTGCTTGTCTCGCCCTCTACTGATAAGGCCCGCAAATTCATCCCGGATAGGAATGGCCCAGGCGCAGCTCCGATTTCCTCATCATCTCCTTCCCCTGATGATTATTTACGCACAATTGGAGTCCTGTTTTCAATTTCATCATCAGAAACATACTCCCCGTCTCGTAGTAGCATTGTTTTGAGGTTGGGGCATTGGCTTGCCTTGTGGCCTCGCCCATGGGATTTAAAGCATTGGATCGAGCTGCTGGATGGACCAACCCGCTCCTGCTGTGCTGGCGTCGAGTTTCTCGGAGCAGGCTTGACTGGTGCTGTCCTACTCGCCTCAACCACGACCTCTGGTTCCACCTTATGATTCAATATTCTTCTGCCTGCGAGTGCCTTCTGTTGTTTCTCAATCTTGACGGCCAAGTGTACTGCTTCTTCTAACTCAACGAAGGACCTGAGATCGAGTTCATTCCGAATTTCTCGATTGAGGCCGTGAAGAAATCGTGCAACAGTGGCTTCCTTGTCCTCCCTCACGTCGGCCCTCATCATTAGCAGCTCCAATTCGCGAAAGTATTCTTCTACGCCCCGTGATCCTTGTCGAATTTCCTGCAAGGCCTCATTAATTTCTCGCTGATAATAGCCTGGAACGAATCTGTCTCGCAGCAATCCCCGCAGCTCATCCCAAGTCTCAATAGGAGCTTGCAAATTTCGTCGACGTCGCAACTGTAGTTGTTCCCACCATTGCGCCGCGTAGTCAGAGAACTCGTAGGTGGCCATCGCGACCTTTTGCTGCTCTGTGAACTGCCCGCACTGGAAGAAGAGGATGATTTTCCTCTCCCAGTCCAAGTACGCCGCTGGGTTCAGAGTTCCCTGAAACTGGGGAATAGCCAATTTGATCCCCGGCGGTATAGTCGACTCCGTTTCGGGGGGGTCTACCTCGTCGATGTCTGCCTTGCTCAAGATCAGTCGCCACCAACTGCTGCTCCAATTCCTCAATCCGCGCGATCAATTCGCGATTGTTATTGCCGGCGTCGCCGTTATTAACTTCCGCCGCCAAAGGGCGCGGAGTACCCTGTATCACGTTCGCAGATAGAGCATCAAGCCGTTGCCCTTGCTGCTCCAATTGATGCTCGATTTTGTTGAATTGCGCTTGAAAAAGAGTCCCAATTTGCGCCGAGATCGTCTGCAAAAATTCAGTTGTGTTGAATTGTCCTGCCATCGTGATGTCGCCTCCTTGATTCTCCTCGTCGGAGGCAGATTCCTCTGCTTGCTGTCGAATGGCAGGGTCTTCCGAAATAGGTCCTTTAGACCTCGTCCAACGCGTCAAGTCCACTGTGTTGAACACAGGCTCTGATGCCACTTAATACGAGCACGGTTGTGCTTGTAGGGGATCAAAGTGCACAGCTCAACTCTCTTCCAACGAGACTTGAGTGTAAGCAATTTAAAATGCAAATAAAACGGACCAAAGGTGCAATCTTTCACGCGGAAGAAGGCTCGATTGGTTTGAAGTGAAGCTCGGCCACGATTGATGCATTTTCAATCGATACGAAGCAACTCGTAGCTGGAACTCAACCAACTCACAAGCTTTGGGAGACAAGTCTCAACTTTTATTCATCAACTCATGCCCTTGTACACGAGGCATTCAAGCCTTTAAATAGACAACAAACAACCTAGTTCTAACTCTAAACTAACAAGGAAATAAATATCTAACTCTAGTTTGACAAGGAAACAGAATCCTAATTCTAAAAGGTAACAAAACCCAGTTGCTTCTCGTCCAAGCTGCTGCCTTCCTGCGCAAGCAATGATACCAGTCTCCATAGCATCTTTGAAGCCCTCGAATGTAGCCTTCCAAGGATCAACGTTCCAATCAGCCTTCAGTCGTTTGTACTCCTGTTTTTGTAGTTTAATTTCCAGCTCTTCTTGCCCGTCGACAATACTCCATTCGCATTTCATAAGCCTCCAAAGTTGGTGTCGGAAACTGTTTCCAGACTTAGTCAAAAACAGGCATTTTTTCAGTTTTACCATAGCAACTTGACACTCTTTGTTCAGGGTCTTGAAGGCTCGAGCTGGTGCAAACGACCCTTCAAATTGATAAACAAACACGAGCTCTTCACTTTCCACCCTTCCTCTCGTATTTCCATCAACCAGAATGTACGATATGAACCTGTAAAGTAGGCACCACGAAACAATACGAACACTTAGCCAGATTCTTCCGTTTTTCTTTCCAACATTGATAGATCTTTTGGAGCTCAATTGGAGCTTCATCAAGAGGCTAAATGAGATCATATCACAATAGGTCCTTGAATGACGCTGGCTCTTCTTGGACCTTCTCATGAACAAAGAGTTTTATATAAATAACTATTAAGTACGAAAATTTCTATGTCCATGCAACTAGTTTAACTCACTTGAGAAGTGGATGCCCGTGAGATGAAAATAAACTAATACGAGGAAAATGTTATAGTTACTAAATCTCATGGATGGGTTCTTCTAAGGTAAGTGCATAAAGTAAGAAAGTTAGTATCGCTACCTGTAGAGATGATTGGGAAGATTCTTGTATATGGTGCCAAAGTGTTTCCTTCAACCTTCGAACATTGACTTGCTTTGACCTCTTATCACATTTGTCTTCAATTTTAGCAACCTGAGTGTGTTGAAACACGAAATAAGATTATTAACCCATCACAATTGTGGTGCATATTATCTAGTTGCCCCACCATCAGGAAATTTATCATTCATGATTTACTAAGGAGGCAAAAGGATAGTTTGTATTTAGCTCGAATTTGCATATGAACCAACCTGCCGAGGCTGAGAAACTAGTGTATTAGGGTTCTCTATGTCACTGTGTGCATCCATATCTTCAAACTGACCACCAAATTTACCACCACCACCATCCCATGATGGCTGTGCTTCATAGTCGTCAGACTGCTGCCCTGGCTCTAGTGATGGCAATGAGGCGGGGCGGGCGGGTACCTCAATTCTCATGCCCCGCCCAACGCTACTACGGGGCGGGGTGGGTAAAACCCGCGCGGGTACGGGGTGGGTTGACCCCACTCTTACATGTTATTCGAAAAAAATACAAGTAAATTATACTTTTTACGATAAAACGAAGGGAAAAACACTTTAAGAATGAAAAATAGTGATTATAGAATGTGTTATTGAGTCTCACAAGTTGAAAGAGGGACTCTAACTAGTTGAAGAAAGTCAAAATAGTAGAAATATGTATAGAAATTGTAAGAAATTGAGATTAAATGAGTCTAGAACGAGCCGGGGCGGGGCAGGGCGGGTCGGAAGTAGATAACCATGTCCCGCCCCACGCTACTACGGGTCGGGTAATACCCGCCCCATCGCGGGTCAGGTCGGGTAATACCCGCGGGGCAGGTTGAAATTGCCATCACTACCTGGCTCTTCTGAAAAAAAAAAAAAAAAAAGAGAAGCTCTTTCACATTTCAGGAATAAGTGACTGAAAACGGAAAAGACGGGATTTTTGAAGGGATGATAAGAGCTTCACCTCTGGAACTTCTCCCTCTCTTTCAAATAAACTGCAAGAGAACAAAACTCTTCCATTAATAGCAGCACCAGAAATAAAATAATAATAACACATTGAATCATAAGTATTCTCTTAGTGGGTAACTTTCATTACCATGACATTGGGTAAAAGAAACAATTTAACAAGATCCTCTGGTTGATAGTGGAAATCCTCGGGTAACTTTGTGATAGAGGGTGCCCGGTTTGCTGGTAGCAGCAGTGACTTGGGATTTTTTGGAGGAGCAAAGACATCCAGCAGTTCTTCGTCCAAGGCTTTTGTGAAAACAATATCAGGTTCTGCTTGCTTCTTGGTCTTTGGTTTCTTGGCTGTTACTTGTGGCCCTTCTTCTGCATTGGGATTATCCTCGATCCATCCCTTTGGGAAAGTTCTACATTACCATTTTGGGAGACAAAGGACTACAATGTAAAATCTTAGGGAACACCTCAAGCTTTAACTTTTGATTTTTGCTACTTCCAATGACCAGGACCTGCCCAAGCATTGTGTTTGGATGTGCAACCCAAACTTTGTAACAAATAAGTATCAATTATATATGACCTGCCATCCATATCGGTGTTGTCAAAAGAAAATGCGCCATTTTCCTGCAAGAGATTGTCTAATTTTAAGTGACTGGTTGATCCATACGTTAAAATAATAATTATAATCATCAACACACTGATAAACACGCTCTATGGATAGCACATAGATTCATCATCAACAACACTTTGTTGATCGTAAGTCCAAGCATCTTGATTTTCAAATGCATCACCACCAAGGTCAGCTTCATTTTCTTCGCTAAAACCATTTTCTACATCCATTTGGTTGCCAGATCCCAGGTGGGAAGAAAACGTAGCTAGTGGCCTTTTGTTATGTTCATCAAATTGACTAATAATTTCAAGGAGAGTTGGTGAAATTTCATCCATTTTTTGCAATTGGTCAGTGCAATATGTAAGGAGCCAAGAAGCCCATCAGTGTTAAATTATTTTCAAAATGGCATTGTATGGTGAACCATAGAATCCGAACATACTTTTAGCAAAGGAAAGGTCAATCAACTGATCCCTGCCACACTGGTTCTCAAATGACACACATTTTCCTGGTACTTCTTTTGAATCGAATAGCACTCGACATCCACCGTATACTCCGATGTTATTCAGTAAAAGACCCATATCTCCACCTTCATCAAACTGCGCAGATGTCTGGTGATAGATGGGATCAACAGCAAATGCAGCTGAAAAGGAAAATTAACTCCATCAATTAACTGAACGCAACTTCTACCACCAACAAATGGCACTATGAAAAGTAAGATCACCATCAAACTTCTTCAGGTTAAGAGCCTCGAAAGATGATTCCAGCGTTGACAAGGGCGATATCTACAAGCACAGCATTCTGTTACCATATGACTTTCAGTACATAAATAGTAGGAAGAAATGACAAATGATTTTCTGCAAACCTTTTTCTCTGTCTCCTTCTTCCCACGACCAGTCTTTTGTCCAACCTCGGCACTGCCATCTCCAGAAACAGCATCTGTCATGACAGTGATAATAGATATACCAACAAGCTTAAAAGGGCATCAACCACAACTCTATACATAGTTCCAACTTAACTTATGTTTGTGCAGCAATATCACTTGAAAGGTATTCTTCACAGAAATGATTCCTCCCAACATGGCATAGAGATGTGAATAAGCGAATGTCAATTTACAACTTAATATTTCTCCAAGTTCAGTTGGCGATTGACCCTAATCTTGTTCATTTTCTTGACCCACTTGATGAATCCCACCAAGGACCCTGCATGCCTCAGAATGCACTGAATCCACTCTCATAGAGTAGATTTTCACTCTAGCTTCCAGGGTGCAACTGGCCTTAACAAAACATAGGGAATTAAAATGCGATTCTAACACCCTCCTAACAGAACCCGAGTAGGAAACCCTGGTCCAGTTTGTCCAAGCTAGCTAACTCCCAACTTCAAAACCTTAAACCTAACTCTGAAATTTGGGGAAAATGAAGGAACCGAAAAGGGGGGAAACCTTCTGAATATTGGTCTCCGAATCTTCTTCTTCTTCCACCTTTATAATGTCGTACAAGTGATCTATCAAGCTCAAATCCCATGTATTCTTCTGATTGATTTTTTGCAAGCGCCACAGAAAGCACAAATTGAACAAATCCCATTTCAAAGTTGTGGCCACCAAATTCAAACAAATTGTAAGAAGATTAAGGGGACGGGGACAAGTCTGACATTTTCGCTGGCGAGTTTGATGCAGTTGTGGAAGAGATCGAGGATCTGCTCCTTGACGAGGCAGAAGGAGGAGGGGCCGGTGGATTTGTCGGAGGGAAGAGGCTGAGTAGCGTTGAGGGAGACGGACATGCGACGGATGGCGGCGGCCCGTTTAGCGTGAGGCTGCGCTCGCTAGAGCTGGTCATTGTTGGATCTGAGAAAGAACGGGCTAGTTGGGGATTGAATACTTGGTAGCCTATGCTTTTGCGCCGGATTAGGGCTAAGGAATTCCCCCATCTTCAACGAATTAGCAGAAAGCACGGTCGATTTTTGAACTGCAGATTAGCCACGAGGAAGAAGAAGAAGAGAGGACTTCAGAGTAGATGGGTAAGGAAAGCGATCCCGATAACTCTTTTTCTGTTTTGCTTTTTTCCGAAGGATTTTGCCTCCGCTGAATCTGATTGATCAGCTTAAATTGGATGATGTAAATTTCCTAAATCAATAAAAGCTGGCTACAGGTTTCGATAAATAAATAAATAAATTAATTAATTAATTGTGTTTTGAATTTTTGGAGATAGATGGTAGCTGAGGGTGGTGGTTCGTTTCAGTTAACCGAACCGAAAACCATTAGAAACCCAGACCCAAATTAGCCAATTGTTGGATACCAACCAAGGTTGTCAACCCGCGGGTCGACTCAAACTCGGTCGAGCTAGTGGGTCAAGGGTTAATGGGTCACCCGTTTTAGCCCGCTGACCCGCTTGTACGGGCCAACCGCCTGGATTTTTTCGGATTTTATCGGATTTTCCCGGGTTTGACTGAGTTTGACCATTTTCGGGCTAACTCTCAACTGGGCCATTTTAACCCGATTTCAAGGCCGGGTACAGGTCGACTTGCGGGTTGACAACCTTGATACCAACTGAAAACCGATCAAAGTTTAACATATTCACTTTTGGTAGAATAAACCAAAAAAATGAGAACGGATCTTTGATTGTGCTAGCCTTATCGGTTTATACCCCGTTAAGGAGAATCGATAAGCCTATAAAATATGTTATATTAATATTGTCCATGATCTCAATTATTAATTCTTCATTATTAATAATGACATTATGTTGATTTTATATTCTATATTTAATTTTTTAATTTTGTTAAAGAACTTAGTGTTCAAATGACCTTCATGTTTAAATTTTTTTAATTTTCTTAAAATACATAATATCAAGTGAGTTTCATATTTTTTTCAATTCCCTATACGAAATATTTTTACTTAAGTTTAGAATGAAAAACTTTATTTTGAAAAACTATGTATTGTATATTATAATAATTATTTAAGTGGATTAGCTGAAGTTCGGATTGAGTCGGTCGGGTTACGAGTTAGTCGGGTCCAGGTTAACCGGTTTGCGGGTCAGTCGGGTTGTGAGTCAATCGGGTTGCAGGTTAGTCAGGTTGCGGGTTAGTTGGGTTGCGGGTCAATTGGGTTGCGGGTCGGGTTGATCGAGCGGGTTAATCGGATCAGGCTATGTTTTGACACCTATAGTGGTGTGAATGAAGAAGAGATGAGGGAGAAGAGGTATTTATAGTTTGGGACTAGATACTATGACAACACTCCTTGTGTTGTTATTATAACAACACTAGTCTCCAACCAATAGGAAGCTAGGGACGTTGTGATGACTTTTTATTAGATGAGTTGACCTATTGTAAAATCAAAGCAGGGGTATAATTGTCATTATGAAAAATATGTTTAAATAATAATAAAAAAATAAAAAATATATTTTTATTTTCGGCCCAAAATTTTGTTCGCCGAAATTCTGCCACCGGTCACCGGAATATGCTTTTTTGTCGCCGGAATATGCTATTTTGTCATCGGAATATGCCACTGTCGCCGGAATATGCTCACCGCGGTCGGAATATGCTTACCGGCGTCGGAATCTAGTCATCGGGGCCGGAATATGCCTATCGGTGTCGGAATCTGCTAACTGACGGTCACCGGAGTTCGGTCAACGGTCAACGACCACCGGATGTATGGTCTACATTGTGAGATTTATGGTTTGGTTTCTCATATTTTCGTATGCCTTTTGTGATTTGCTTTATCGTGTTTATGGTTTGCATTAAGAAGTTTCTAGTTTGCTTTATTGTGTTTGTGGTTTGCATTGAGAAGTTTCTGGTTTGCTTTCAAAAAATTTGTGGTTTGCTTTGGGAGGTTTCTGGTTTGTTTAAATATATTTGTGGTCTGCATTAGGACGTTTTTGGTTTGTTTTAGGGGATTTGTGGTATGCATTGGGAGGTTTCTGGTATGCTTTTTTGTGGTTTGTTTTACCGTGTTTGTGGTTTGTATTATGAAGTTTCTGGTGTGCTTTAGAAATATTTATGTGTTGTTTTGTGGTGTTTCTCGTATGTTTTAGGCAATTAATGGTTTGCATTAGGAGGTTTCTGGTACGCTTTCGAAATAATTGTGATATGCTTTGTGATATTTCTGGTATGTTTGTTTGATTTTTGCATGAGTTACATTTTTTGTAAGTGTAAATATGTCACGAACCTTCTTGTGTGGAAGAAAATGTACTATAGTTTCCTTTAAACCAGCCGCCAATCGTCATCCTACTCTATAGCAAATACTAATACAAGTGATCAAGAATGAAAACATGTGACACATACCTTAGTTTCCAAATCAAAAGATGGCATTTAACGAATTAACTATGTGTAAGTTGATTAGTATCCCCATCTACAAAAATTCAATCCATATATATATATATATATATATATATATATTTGTTAATGGTGATATATATTAATTGAAAACAAAGAATAATACAAGGACAAGACCACAGAAACCAAAACACGGCTCCATGGTCAGAAACAAAACAAAAGCCGACAGGGGCAAGGGGGAAAATAGAAGAATCCACCCACCCCTGCTCAACGCCAAACCAACAGAGAACATTAGCTCGCAAAAAAGAAAACTGGAAAAACCCCCCGCCAACCCACCTAACAAAGCAGGACAATTCGTATCAAACAGAAGCAGATAGCAAACAGGGGGGTGGGGGGGGGGCAGTGCTCGGCACGCTTACAGAGCAAACACAAAAGCCAACCTGAAGGATCAGGAAGCCAAAAAACCGAAAAACCAAAAACCAGAGGCCTATGATTCTTCCTCACGAGGCTGTGAATGAGAATGAGAAGTCTGCTGCTGCGGATTGTGTGGGAACAGCCTGTTCTTAATTTCTTTGATCCATGCTTCTGCAATCTCTTTGTCAACCTTCCTTGCTACCATCAACCACCAAAAAATAGTGTATCCAATCTTCATTACAAGTGCAGGAACGTGGCTTTCTTGGTCATTGAATATCCTATTGTTTCTTTCCAGCCAAACACACCAGCAGAAAGCATGTAGGACTACTCTTGAACACCACTGAGCTGGATTTACCGGATTCGAACGCGACCAAAGTCTGATTCTTTCTGAAATATCCAGACTCACTACAACACTTCCTTCCAATTTAACAAAGCATTTTAGCCTGCCCCAAACCTGATTTGAGAAAGTGCAAGTGATGAAGATGTGATTCAGGGACTCTTCTTCCTTCTTGCAAAGGACACACCGATTCGGGATGTAAAAGCCTTTCTTCTTCAAGTTGTCAATGGTGAGGATTCGCTTGTCGAAGACCAGCCATAGGAAGATGCAAATCTTACTCGGTATGATACTAAGCCAAATTACATTTGAAGGAAACTCCGAGATTCCCAGATATCTTTCCGCAGCTAAGTGATCATATTCCGAATGAAGGCTGAAACCAGCTGTAGGGACGGGAGCCACCTTGGTCTTTCAGGTCCTGCAAAAAAGTTTTGATATGGAATAGAGTTAAGCGTTTCAAATAGCCTCACCCTATCTCTTTCAGCCCCACCCCGAAGTGAATGAGTCAATGGAATATCCCATTGACAGTTTCCCTCAGAAAAGGAAAGGTATTCCGCAAAGGTGGAGTTCGGGGATTCGGCAGCAGCTACAACTCTCGGGAATTCTTCAGCCAGTCGAATGCCCTCGATCCAGGTATCAAACCAGAACGAAGTCCAAAACCCTTGAATATGCTCTATTCGAGTAAGTTTCCAGAAATCAGGCTGCAACTTGACAATCCTGGCCCATAGACTGCCTCCAAGGCTGCCCGATGACCTGCCCGAGAACCATTCAGACTGTTGATTAGGGAATTTGGAAACAATCATCTCCCTCCACCAATATCCTCTTTCAGTCGCAAATCTCCAGTGCCATTTGAGTAGGAGAGCTCGGTTATTTATCTCCAAATCACAAATACCCAAACCTCCCCTGTTCTTGGCCGTTTTACAAAGTTCCCAGGACACAAGATGTAGCTTCTCCCTTTCTCGTGTACCAGACCAAAGGAAATCCCTTTCAATTTTCTCCAAAGAGTTGATGATGTTCTTGGGGATTAGGAACAACGAGCTTATGTAGTTACTCTGGCTTGCAAGCACCGCGTTGATAAGTATAATTCTCCCTCCCAGCGATAGAAATTTCCCTTTCCATCCCTCTAGTCTTGACTGAGTTTTAGCCACAATGTTGTTCCAGTGTGCAGTGGGTGGAGATTGACACCCGAGAGGCAGCCCAAGATAAGTAGTTGGCAAGAAAGCCCAATCACAGCCGAAGATTTCGACCAATCTTTCAATATTAGCAACCTCCCCCACCGGGAAAATTCTCGACTTCTCAAGATTTATTTGTAGGCCAGTTATTGCTTGGAAACATATCAGGGCAGCCAGTAAGTTGAGGACCTCGGCTTCATTTGCTTCACAGAATAATATAGCATCATCTGCATATAGTAGATGTGTAACCTCTCCAATACGACTCTCTTCATTGATATAGAAACCCGTGATGAGCCCTTCTTTCCTTATTTCACAGAGAATAAAAGATAATATGTCCATGCCGATGTTAAATAAGAAGGGCGAGAGAGGGTCCCATTGTTTGACACCGCGAGTCATTCCAAAGAAACCGGTAGATTCACCATTGACAAGGATTGAGAGCCTTGAGGATGACAGTAGTCCTTCCAGCCATTTCCGGAACCTCGAGTGCAAACCCAAATGAGTTAATGATTTCAATATGCTCTTCCAGCTGATAGAATCGAAGGCCTTTTCGATGTCTAGTTTGATAACAACCCCCGGTTTTCCACTTCCTACGGCTATCAATCACTTCGTTGGCAATCAAACAAGATTCATGGATCACTCTGCCTCTTTTTCCTGCGAACTGGTAGTCAGAAATTAGTGTGTTCATATGAGGCAGAAGGCGGTTGAATAAAACCTTTGTAATGACCTTATTTAGACTTCCAAGTAGGCTAATCGGGCGGAAATCAGATACCGTCTCGAAGGGATCCCTTTTGGGCAATAAACAAATGAAGGCATGAGCTGTCGATTGCGGAAGGGTGCCAGCCAGGAAAAAATCATCGAATGCCTTCAGTAAATCGCATTTAATGATATCCCAAG